AAGAAAAACTGTTCAATAATTTTGTTCCGTAAGTATGTACCTAGACAACAAACTTCGTGGAATTTTGTCAATTTTCGTTGTCCGGCCAAGAATTGCAGTGGAATTATTTTTTTCGAATTTTCAAAAACTAATTTCAGATTCAAAAACCACCAGATACCAAATTTCGTCGAAATCAACATTTTTTCGCACCCCTATTGAGGGGTGTGTCCTTTTGCGGTAGGAATTTTGAAAAATTATTTGCAAAACCGGAAAGGGCATACAGCAAAACCTATTCAAAGACTTACCACCAGTCTCTGTAACTGTTGCTGAGAAAAAAAGAAACTTTACCACTTTTTTGAGGGTGGCTCCTAAACGAATACATGGATTTTTTTTTTTTTGGTGTTTGGATCCATCGTTCCTTGAAATGGGGGTTGAAATATATTGTGTGATCAAAACTCTCTAAACCTTTCCCATATAGTTTTTATTCGTTGAAGTTTTTAAAAATAAAAGCGACTATAGCTTCGGCGTACTGCCATCATCCGGCGATGTGAAATTTAACAGGAAAACGGTAAGTTACAAACGTTGAAGACGAATAAGACGAACATGTTGTTTTTTAATTATTAACTGGCCGAAGCCAAGTGAAAAAACCTGAAGGGTGGTTAAACCGGAAAGGTTCTCCTAAGTTTCAAAACGAATTATTATCAAGCCTTGTTAAGTTAAGACAACCAACCGGAGGGTTGAATTATTACATTAAAAGTTGAAAGTTGAATTTAACACATTTCAAAAGAACCGGGGGGAAAAAATAAACTCATAAAAGTTTTGAACCTATTGAGATGACGACATATTTAAATTATTTAAGTTAAGTTTAAATTCGAGATCATGCAGACGGCATGTCTAGAAATGATTGACCACCAGGTTTACCTATCACTAGATAACGACCACATAACTGACTTTAACAGCCTAAGTACCTGCTGATAATCCTCCTAAGTAAGTTCCGGTATCTACCATTCAATATAATATACCTATGCCGTTTTTGAATTCTCCAGCAGCGAGCTACAATACAATCCTAACCATCGTCTAGTGAAATAAAAAAACAAGCCTGAATCTTTGGGACAAAATCATACCGTTGTTACTGCTGATCTTGCAATATACAGCACAGCACAAGAGATACCTAATGTGGAGTAACCCCCAAAATTTACAGGGAAAGGTACCTATTTGTACCTATATATTTCACCAAAGAACTGAGATACATGGAGTTAATGAATTGTTTGAGATTTTACAATGCAACTTGGCGGAATGCATTTGTAAACTAAACGGCCTAAATAGCTAGTTTTGGTATTCGGAGAGAAATTTCTTAGTAAAGTAAAATCTCTTAAGCATCGCTCCTTGTTTAGCGAACGCTGCTGACTATCCTTCCCTCTCCGTCTCACTCGCGATTACCGACTCGGTGAGGTCGGTAGGTTTTTACTTAAATGACCGTAACTTTTTTATTATGAAAAATTCACGGTAATGTTATAGAAAATAAAATAATCACAATGCTTTGGAGCATCGAATGAGCTATAAATATTGGAAATCGATATCGTGAAATAAAAAGTTATGAGAGTTCAAAGTGCGCACTTTTCATCTGCTACACGAATTTTGGAAGTTGACGGTCATTTTTCTAAAAACTGTGCATAACAAGGTAGGTAAATTGAATGCTTTAGATTCTGCTATAAATGTACTTTCATTTTACAAAAGGAATTATTGATGTATATCGCTTAGTTGCTGAGAAAATAAATACTTTCGGTGGTCTAGTCGCGCGCGCGAAAATGAGTAAATTTCAACTTTAGCGGCCTATAACTTTTGTCAGGACCACGGGAAAATGTCGTAAAGCGAGATTCTGAAGGTTCAAACATTTCTGAACAAAATGGTGTGGGTCCCAATTCTTTCTACTCCGAAAAAAAAAACTACCTCAAATAAGCGAGTTAGCGCCGGCTCTCCGCTGCACTACTACCACTAAGCTACACAATCGGTGATACCTAAGTCCCTCAAAGAAATCTTCAAAAGATCTTTTACCTACACTATGGTGAAAACTGTCAACTTTATTTTGACAGATCCAGATCCATCGTTCAATAAGTCCCAGGACTAACCCACAGATTGCGACCATAAACAGTAAAGCTGCTGTGCTGAAATTGACGCTACTTCTGCAAAATTATCTTTTATCTAGGCAATTCACCGTGCCACAAGTTTATGTAAACAATAGTGTAATTGAACGAGTTGGGCTTTAATCTGCTTCCCCATTCACCATAGACTCTCCAGATCTACCCCTTGGCAACCACTGTTTGCTTACTGATCTCAGAAAGATGCTCCAAGGAAAAAGATTGAGGAGGTTATCGCTGCAACAGAAGCTTATTTTGAGGGTAAGGGTATGGTATCGAAAAGTTAGGAAAGAGTAGGAATGATTGTTTAGCTCTTGAAGGCGATTATGTTGATGAATAAAAATGAAGTTTGCGACACAAATTTTGTTTTTCTAGTTAGTCCTAGGACTTATTAAAGGATGTTACTTGAAGGCTTTGTGGTATGACTGGGAAAAAATGGCGGAGGTGCGTATTTTGCCGACTATGGATATCTGCCGACAATTTCTTTTTACCACCCGCACGTTAGTAAGAGAGATATTCCATTGTAGTAAAAATCGACCTCCTCCTCCCCACTTTTTTACGGAAATACACGTTTTGAAACACCAGGAATTTAAATCAAACAAAATCTCGACAATGTAAGTCTGTCGATCCGTCGGTCTGTCGATCTCTCTGTCGGTCCGTCTGTACTCTTATTTCCGGCTGCACGGCTGAACCGATTGACTCCAAATTTGGTATACATATTCTTAGACATAAAAGGGCAGAATCGCGCCTGAGCAGGTGTGCTAGGCACAGCAAACTTTTTTAGTTCTTGCTTTGTTTCATTTTCCATCAAATATTCGAGCATATGCGTTTAAAGTTTGTTTTCATTTCTCAAAGTACAAGATTGATTATAGATATATACATCTTTTATAAAGCTACATATTCTTTTCAATCCTTGAGTGAAAAATCGTTATTCAATGGTATAATAAACCTAAAATTGCACATGAATCCTATCTTCATAAGCAAGAAAATATACCCATAACTCTCTCGCTGTTTCGAAAAGGCTATAGCTGTATTACAACCCTAGCTGATTTTACTGATGCCATTATGGCTGCTAAAGACCAAAATAAGACTTCACGTTTAATTATGTTTGACTATTACAAGGCTTTTTCCATGATTGATTCTCCTTTAGTTGCAATATTATACTACCTCGGATTTACCGAGAAGGTTAGGCTGCTTATAGTATAATTTACGCCAGACAGAAATTAAAGCATATTTATAAACGTAAAAAATCACAATCTCTGGGCTCCAGATAGCGCCAAAACGTCAAAGCGCTGCCGCCACAACCAAGAAGTGTGGGGCAATTTTTACTAGCTCTTGTAAGTTAGCGCCACTGAAATATTGTAGATTAATTTAACAATTATTCTTTTCTAGGGATACTGGGTTAATGCTGTTAAATGACAGTTGATTAAATTCTTGAGAAGTTTTATTCACGCACTTTTTTTGAATTCCCAACCAATTTCGAAAGGTCATTTTTTTTTACACAGTTTTTAGGTACCTCGCGTTTTTCATCAGACATTCTTTTATATCATTGTTCATAAGAGATAGAAATTCTATTTTAAGAAGTTGTAGAGAATAAATTGTATAGTAAACGACACCTCTGACCGGCCACTACACTGTAATACGCAGCAAATGATCGCTGCAGCATCTCTCGACTCTCACTTAACTGTGTAGTGCTCCTTTTTGGGCAGCATATATAAAATGCTTCAGGGTCACGGCCGCACGCGTTTGCGAGAGGGGTAAGAGCACATTTTCTTGTAACGACGGCATTTTCCAACAAAATACTTGACCAAAGCTAACTAAGAGAAGAAAAGTTCGACTAAATGCCTTAATTAAAGAGAAACCCAATCAAGTCAAGAAATTTGAGGAGAAATTGGAACAGATTAAAGAGAATGACTCACGGCTCACCTTTGGATTCAGTATTTCAAGGTGGTTGATCTAGTAAAGAAAAATATACATGCAAAATGACCTGGTGGTTGGTATACGCACCTAACTGTCAAAAAAGTGACTCCCTACTTCCATGGGCCTGGACACTTCCCCTACGCCAAGCGTTGCCAGTTATATGTTCAGGATATAGAGAGCTTACCGTCAACAATTACACCTGTGCAATACCGGAAATTCACCACAGTCAGGCATCTGGTCAGAAGATATCAAGAATTTGAGAAGTTTTAGCCTTTAGGAAAACTTGAGACATGTCAACTAAGTATTGAGCGATTTTAAAAGATAAAAGTGATTTTCTATCAAAATTATGTTGGACAACAGCGTGGATGTAACTGAAATTCAAGAAAGTCATTCTCATTCTAAATATGATTTATTGAATAAGGTAAACATTTCAGGATACTTATTAATTGGCGCGCTTTGACAGTAAAATTCATGGTGGCACTACTTACGTACAGACTGATATTTCTAATTTTGAGGTGTTTGAACAAAGTATGAATTGCAGCAATTTTAACTTTATCATTAATATACAGGATGGATTCTTTGTCGTGCATAGCATTAGGATCTTGGAATTCTTTAGATGTCTGTAGCAAACACGCAAATTATTTACATGCATCTGACTTGTATACGGAAAAATTTACAATGCCGCTTCAAGGGTATTCAAATTAACTCCTGTAGTAAATGTTGTTTTCTATACTATCAGCATGCTTCTAGATCTTATCGCAAGTTATTGATACAGATTATCAAAGCGTTACGCTAAACCACCAAATCTTTTCAATTCTTAAAATTAATTTGTTATCGTATTCCGTTCACCTGCGATATGGCTTTCTTCTAAATGACAAACCACATTAAATTCGCTATCGATTTATTTTTATCAGATGCAATTAATTATATATTTCGCAACGGTGCATAAGCAGGTGATTGCGTTGCAGATAACAGGACCGTATAAAAGCTCACCTGAACGATTTGGTTCCATTATAGTCACTCAGTCAGAATGAAGTCTTTCTTGTTGGTTGTCGTAGCATTGGTTGCAGTTCTCAGCTCCGTAACTGGTAAATATGCAGTTTCATGATGTAAATCGTACTATAAAGAAGGTGGGGTTGTACCCTGGGTTGTACCAAATGTTGAAAGGAAAAAGTCCAGTCAATTCAATCTAATCAAAATCCTACACTCAGACCAAGATCATTTGAAACTAATCTCGTTTGTAATTTATAGCACAAATACCTTGCAAGGGGATGTTCTTTTCCTGTACTGAAACCTGCACGTTTGGAGGCAATCATATTTTTGGAGTTTGTCCTGCGGGACAAGTCTGTTGCCCTATGGGACTAGGAAGAAAGTAGAGGAATATCCACTAGATCAAAGCCATTTGAAAAATGCGAATAAAATCGATTCACACATTCGGTATACTTTCGTGCTTGTGTAATGATGTAAAATGGCTGTTTGAACTATACCATTATTGAAATAAAGTGTATTTTGAAAACTATTACATTTTAAGTTTATTGCATTTATACCTTATATTCTATACTATATACTAGATTTTGTTTTGTTTTTTTTTAATTCATCAAGGACTACCTGATTAAAATATAAAAAGATATAACGTTGATATAACTGGTATCTTATTTTCAATCTTATGCTATGATAGCTCGTTGAAAAGAGAATTAAAAAATCTATTAAGTACTCTAAAAATCCAATATGGCGCCTATTTAACTTTAAGAAGTTGGTAAATGTTCCTCAAAAGTAGCCATCTTGAAGTTTGTTGACACCAATTCTAAATTAAGTGAATCAAAGACAGTAACTCATTTAAAACTTTTTTTTATATATTTCGCAACGGTGCATAAGCAGGTGATTGCGTTGCAGATAACAGGACCGTATAAAAGCTCACCTGAACGATTTTGTTTCATCAGGCATTCAGTCAGAATGAAGTTCTTCTTGTTCGTTGTCGTAGCATTGGTTGCAGTTCTCAGCTCCGTGACTGGTAATTATTATTTCATGATATAAAGACGGTGGGGTTGTACCATGTGAAGTTAAACTGAAAGAGTTCAGTCTAATCGAAATCCTAAATTCTGTCAGTTCAACTAGCGTGGTACAATCAGGCCAAACCAGAGACTTGTTATAACTAGACCGCGCGTAACGTAGATTTTACCAGAAACGCCTGTTGTCAAGAAAGGATAGGCAACCAATTGTTCATCGCGGGGCAGACGTACGTTCTGCAGCTTGCTTTAGCCATGTTTATTCTAAATTTTAGAAGCAAAAAAAGATAACATATAACTGTTAACTGTTTTAATCGAATTTATTGGTATTTTATTTGAACTAAATTGGTATATAACTGCCTTACTCTAGTCCTAATTTGATTTATATGTGTATTTTGGTGGTGAACACGTATGGGAAAATATACTCTTAAAACTAAAGATGTAAGTAGTAAGATATGATTATTTAGCGGATTTTGATTCAATATATGCCTATCAAAAAACCCAAATGGGCTGTAACTGTTATTTATTTTTCTTAGACTGCTGATAACCATTTTGTTTACAACGCGGTGTGGTGTGGATTGAATGAAAAACCTGAACACATTTTCAGCAATTTGGCAAATTTTTAATGCATATCGCTTGATACGTGCAACAATCCTCCACGATTTTTTCTAGTTAAAAGCTTTGAATGACTCTCTGATGCGAACATCGCATCTGCACATATGGAACATTTAATAGACTTAGCTATTTTTCTTGTAACAAAACCGGAAATATACTTAGTACCAGTAAGTACTTAGTTACGTCTATACCTAATAGGCAAATAGGTATTGCCGTTGTCTTGCTGGTAAAGGATGTGGAATAATATTTCTACGTTATTTTAAGTGAATGGGAAAGTCGAAAACGCTCGGTATTGCATTATTGTTTAACACCTTCGTAGGTACCTTTCTAAAATCGGCTTCATTCCCCGCAAATGCACTATGGTGGGAGTAAATTTTTC